CAGAAAATCAGCTACGCCTCCAACTACTCCGCTCAACACTCACCCTTGACCACCAATCTCCCTCCCCCACCTAAAGTATAAAACAAGTTTAAGCCAAACACATGGCGTTCGTACCTGAAGAATCAGATGTCTCAGGGAGCTGGAGGTGTAGAAGTATGAATAAGTGAGTAGGGATGGCCACCAGGGTGGCGGCACCTTATAAAGCCCCAAATCTTCCGCAATAGCATCCCACACGCCATAATGTGTGAGCCGAGCATCTTCCGGATGATACCTACCCAACCGGTTGTTAGTCCACTCGTCGTATTTACGACGATCGAAAGATTTTGGAATGGGAGGAGTGTGGCCACAAGATGTACATAAGATGACTGGCGTTTCAACAGGAGGGTATATTATTTGCAAAGGACGAGGTTGGCAAAATGATTCCAAAAGACGAGGTTGGCAAAATGATTCCAAAGGATGGTTTATGGGGTCTCGATTAATAGAAGATAAAGGGTGAATAAGGCGCCCTCCACCAAAAGCAGGTCGCCGAGAAGAACAGCGATGCTGAGCAGGCATAGAATTAACAGGCGTTCGCTCAGACGAGACAGAACGCCTCCTCCAGGAATGCCAATACCCACCAACATTATGGGGCCCACCAGAACGACGCCCCTCAGAACCAGAAGTCCTCCCCCTAAGCGCAACTCCAAGCCCACCACGACAGCTTGACCCAGAAGCCTCACCAGAATACGGAACCACAGGACCTAAGGCATGCTCGGCCAAAAGACCCTGGATCTCCTCCTCACTGAAACCCATAAGTTCAGGTATCCTACCATGAGGTAAAGACTTAACCCCAAGAATCAGTGAACGGCGGGCACCAACACTACTACTGGGACCAGTACGACCAGCAAGGAAAGCTCGCATAGCCTCTCCCATAACACAACATTCAAACGCCTCAAAATCATCCTCAACTTCTTCCTCCTTAAAAGCATCCTCTAATTCATTCAAGGTCTCCCCAGGCAACTCACCCAACTCAACCATCACAAGAAAAAGAAAGGGCAAAATCCAGAAGCCAAAGAAAACAAAACAAATATATGGGTTATAAATACAAAAACAAATCTAATAACGTTGTACCTGCAGCAAGGAGATGAAGAGACGGTGGAGGAAAAGAAGAAGAAAAGAGCCCGATGCAGTGCTCACAGAACAAAAAATGAAAAATGGAGTCAAGAAGATAAGAAGCAGGAAGATTGAGGTCTTCAAGAGAGTGTAGAAAAAGAATATAAAGAAAGACCAGATGGAGGTCTTCAAGATTGAGGTCTTCAAGTGTAACCTCCCTCAAGCACCTACAACATCACATGCATCTCAGCCGTTCGATGTGAGTAACCGTTATACCAACGACGGACCAGATGGAGGGCTTCCCGGTAATTTCCAGTGGACAAGACATCCTTCACGTCGCAATAAATGTGGCACGGTTCGCGATGTTAGGGTGTCTGCGCGTTTTAAGGCAATGATTATTTATCCTATCATTACAAACCTTCGAGAACCAAAGAGTCACCTCACGTTTTGGGCGACACGTGGCCGTTCACCCATTCTGATCGCCAAAGACTCATGGCATTCTGATCGCCAGTGGCCGACGACATTTCACTCGCTGAGAGTCGTGGCGGTCCATCCGACCGCCAAGACGCTATCCACCTCATCAAATCACCAAAGCACTAAGATCCCCCTGGAAGCCAAAACAAATTATCTTGGCACCAAGCTTCGCTAGCTCCCAAGCTGGGGGGCTCCTATTCCGGATGACCCATTTCTAGGAGGCCCAACGATTTGGGCCCAAACCCCTTTTTCCTCTCCTACGTCAGCCCTGTTGACTTACCACTTCTAACCCTCCACCCATCCTATTGCCTGGGCGACTACGCCCCTAGGTGAGACTCCAAAATGTCTCACATTGGGATTTCAACCCTTTGGCAGGTCACCCCAGATACCATAAATAACAACGCCCCAGCATCAGATGTTGACACCACCGATACAGAGATTGTTTCAATGCTATCATAACAGTGTCAGTCACCCCCAACAGCCCCCAAGGAGGGTTGATCCCCTCTCACCAACCCACTCAGGGCAGAGACCTCCCTCCTGTATAAAGACCCCCTCGTAAGACAGGGAGGGCATCTTATGTATCGTTATTCGGCCCATAACCCTTGGGTCACACACACGCATACCCCCATTATCATCTGTTAGCATTCATACTTGCGATAGTGCTTCCTAATTTGGTCTCTACCTGTGCTAGAGGTATAACTCATACAGTGACTCTTATCCCTGAAGGGAATATAGTGGACTTATAGATTCCAACGGTGCAGTTTCGATTTTCAAAAACCACCAAACTAATTACTCACAAGACATAAAAGAATAACAATGTAGGGCCTACAAGAAATAAAAACAACGAAGAAAATAGGTACGTTTCAGGCCCCAGCAATCATTATTGAATCCTAACTAATTATTGTACCCAACGGAGAGTCAACCATGTATTCTTTATCAATTTAGCGCACTTTTTCCCATGTAACGGAAGCTTGATTAGAAAAAAAAAATTCATAAAATATATAGATATTTATTTATGGGCTTAACATCTCTCCTGTAATTTTCCAGCAAATAAAGGATTTTGTGGAGCTCACGAGTTTTTGAAAATAAAAAAATAAAACACGGAATTCGATTTGACACGATAGGAGAAATACACTTCCCAGGAGAAGTGTATTTCCCTTTTTTTATTTTTTATTTTGGTAATGTATTTCCCTTTATTTATTAACTCTAAATTATATATGGAAAAAATCAATCATATAAAAGAATACAAAATGTAATTTTATGGCTTTCAATTTTAGTTAAAAATTATAATTTTTAATCGGGAAGAATATTCTAACTCTAGTATAAGAATAAGAAATTTTATTCTTCACCTTCGTTGATCTCTGTATATTTTATTGTTGTAATTTATTAAATTATATCAATTAATTATTTACTAATTCCCAATAAATTACAATGGTCATATTCATATAGATATAAAATTTACTGATACGAAGAGTAAGACATCTTATATGTTTTTATATTGGAATCAAAATATCTTTCCTCCTTTTTAAATTTAAATAATTTTTCATTTTGTTCAAAGGTTAAATCATTTTAGGTTCTAGATGCTTGATTTTTTGTATTGTAGAATTATGATTGATCATAAGCATTTTATTTAGGTCAGATAATCTATTGAAACAAATAATTGATTATTACATTAAATAATCTAAGGTAAGATTGTGTGGAGATATATAAAATCATTAATGTAGCCTCACACAATAACTTAAGCTTTTGAATTGAATTGGTTTTTTACATGGTATCAGAGCCTCGGAGTATCGGGTTCTATATTCACCGTTCCTCACTTTCTTTCTAGTAGAATTTCTTTCTTCGCACAGGTAGCGGGAACTGCCAACCAAGTTTCAAATAAAGAAGATAAGGGTTGTTTAGGTAGTTTGGAGGGTCGGATATAGATATAAAATAGAGAGGGGAAGCATCTTAGCAATATAAATAACAACACAGTAGAAGACTATATAATCATTCCTAAAAAATTGTTATTCTAGGATTGAATGTATTTCTAGTATATAAATAATAACTTTTAGATAGATAGCCTCACCCCAGGTTTCCCTGCATTGTTGACGTGTTAGAAAGTTTCAAACAGAGGGACTATTACGAAAAATAATAATATCAAACGTTCCGTACGATAACCGGGGTTTGAAAAAAAAATCCAGGCAAGAGTGATTTGGTGTATGTGAGACTCCATTATAATTGCTTTAATGAAAAATTAATTCACTCAATTATTAATGGAAATAATGGTAATTGTATATGGCTCCAGTATCGTTAATAATGATAATTTAATTGATCTCGTTATATGAAAATAACGATAAATTAATTGACTCAGTTACTAATGGAAAAATAGTAAATTAATTGGTTGGAGTATTTCTACTAGTTTACAATGATGACAAATTATTTAAAAGAGTTCTTTTAAATAATTAATGATAGAAGATAACAAACTGTATATTCCCAAAAGGAAGGGTTGGTTTAGGCTTTCGTTTTTCAACATTCCTTTCTCCTATGAAACAAGAATGAATCTTTCATGAGATATTTCTGAAATCCTTACTAAGTTGGAGGAAATATCCATGTACAGAGTAAAGAATACAAATAAAGAGGCATGAGTTTTTCCCCCTTTAAACACTATCCCTTCAAGGTGATTAATTTGTACTTCCCACCTTATTCGAATGGTGGAGCCTTTATTTAAGCACAAAGAAATACCTCCTTAGAGATGAAAATTCAACATCTTCATGTTCAGGCACTTTTTGAGTGACGTGCAATGAACTATTATTGATATTACCACAACCTCATTGACAAGTTAAAATTTAGTAGTGTTTGTTACTTGCGACTGTATGCTACAACAACTAGGAATTTTGATGCACTCCAATTTGTTTGGGAGCTTAACTCAGGCTTCTTATTGAAAGCATAGAGCAGAACACCATTATTATACTCATTTGTTACTTCAACCTGCTTCACAAAAACTCAACTCGCCTTTATCAATGTTGATATATATAAAACCATCAATGTATCATCACCCAACAACTTAAGCTTTTAGGTTGAATTGGTTCTTTACATGATATCAGAGTCTCGTGTCCCGGGTTCGATCCTCGCCGCCCTCCACTTTCTTTCGAGTGGAATTTCTTTGTTCGCACAGTTAGGTAGGCCTGTGCATTGTCCACCCTTCAAATTCAGTGGACTCTCTCGTGTGAGGGGCGTATTGAGATATATAAAACCATAATGTATTCTCACCAACAGCTTAACTTTTGGATTGAATTGATTCTTTACAATCAAACGGCATGAGCTTGGACCAAGCACCATCAGAAACTATTAGATAAGTCAAGTACAACAAGAAACAGAAACAAGAAAAAGAAATCCTTTCTAATTATATTGTTCCATTCTCTCATTATTTTTCTTTTTTCCTTTTTCTTTATCCTTTTTTCACATGTTGGTAAAGGAGTATTACAACATTAGCTTGGCAATATGAGTAAGATAGCTGAGTTTGCATGAATTACATATTTGATTAACTTACTTTTAGTACAGATTCTAGTGCTGCTCTTGGAAGAAACTGGTCCTCTGAGGGAATAAGAAGGGGAGAGAACAAGGTCAGTATAATCAAAACGTAAACAACATAAGTTGCACGAGCGAAAGGAAATGGAAAGTGTATATATATCTACATGTTATAAAGGTTAATTCCTTAAATATAAAACTTACGAGTTATTCCTTCGAAAGCTTGCAAACAAGTTCCTATGGCACAGAAAGAGATGGTTAACACTAAGATAGCTTCATGACATTACCAAAAAAACAAAAACAAAAGAGCACATGAATGTAAGTAGTCATACACATTTTGCTCATAACATGTCTCTGGTTCTTGGTGATCAACACTGAAGTTGTTATATGAAAGATCTCTGCATAATATGTATTGTAAAAGTCAATTCAGAAGCTTAGAAGATAAAACAACGTCATTGATTTAGCCTTTCAACAATTTACTCTCCAAAGTGCAAGGTGAATGATACAATCAACAAGGGCAGATTTGGGAAAATATACAAGAGGAGAAAGAGCAGAGTAGTCCCACATGGACAAGGTGAGTCAGCAGCAACTAATGAAGAAAATTAGTCACACGGGCAGCAAGGACAGCAAGGCAATAACAGCAAGAGAGTGGTCACGTCTATAGCACGAAGTTGTTACAAATAGGAGGAGCATGGGAGTGAATCATCCTTTTGAACTTGGGACTTTTGGGCATCCTATTGGGTGATTAGGGAGAGAAACAGAGCCTCTCTAAGTGCTCTGGGTAGTAGTTATTTGTAATAGTTGTGGCTTTGTAATTGTCTCACACGAATACTGTTGGAATTATTAGTTTGAATCTGAGTTGAGATCAATACTATAAATACATTTACTTCTTTAAATTCTGCTGTCTTTTATCACTGATACCTATCAGTGAACTTTACAGGATCCTGACCCTTTCAACAAAATATGATAAAACCCTCTTAGATTGTTACATGTAGAGCATCTAAGAGAGTGAGACAACATTCTGTGATACTCAAGAACTTTGTAACTTGAGTAATGTAGCAGTCAAGGGTCAGTCAGTTAGTTGGTTGAGTTAGTTAGAGAGTTAGTTAGTGAATATTGTTGTATAAATAGAACTCTTTTGTAGAATAGGGATACACGAAAATAATTCATTACTTGATTGTTCTTGTTAGAATATTAGATATGATATGATTAGATTTGATTAGATATGATTGGATTCTGTCTTATCCGTAAATAGTCTGACTGTATTCTGACTGTATTAGGATTAGGTTTGGATTAGGTTTGGGCCTTACACTTAAGCCCATTAGGGTCTCTATATATTGTAACTCCTTGACACAGATCAATACATAACGTATTCTTTTACATTTAACTTGGTATCAGAGCTCTTTCGTTCTAGGAACCCTCGCTTCCGCTCAGAAACCTTTTTTTTTTTGCTTTAAAAAACCTAAGCCCACTGCTTAGGAGTCCTCTTTCTTGCCGTGCGTCCTTCCGGCAAGCCTTCTAGGGCTGTAAACAGCCTCTGAGTGATTTTTCCAAACGCGTCAGCACCTCCGACGGCCACCGGAACCACCGCCCGCCGTCAGAATCACTGTTCAGGCAACCGGAGACTTTTTCCGGCGACTTTTCCGACCAAACTTCACGCGATCAGGACCCTTTCTTCCCGGCGACCAGGTCTGTGGTGGTCCGGTCAGCAACGCATCTCCCACGCGCCGTCACGCGCCACCTGTCTTCACTGCGCGTGGGCTTCACGCGCCACCTTCTGCCGGCGCGTGAGCACTATTCCGGCGGCTTTTTCCGGCCGGTCTTGGACAGAGAAGCTCGCCTTCTCCTCCCCTTTCTGGATCTGTGATTGTTTCTCTGTGGGTCTGACCTTAGACGCGTGGTTCTTCTTGATTGGATATCGTTTGCCTTCGTTTACGGCTTTTATATTTTATCTTTAAATGGCAGCAGCATCTCCTGATCTCTCGGAGGTTAACTCTCCTTCTATTGTTGCAAATATAGCTCAGTCAGACAAAGCATCATTTGGTTCAGGTTCGGACTGTGCTGCACTCCAAACCCCTCTCAGGAAGGCTTCTCCTCAGTCTCAGCCTTATACTGGTAATCCCGTTGCTTGTGTTTCTCATTCTACATCACTTGGCACTTGGATATTTGACTCCGGTGCTACCGATCATCTCTGTGGTAATAAGGAACTCTTTACATCTCTTACTTATTCTGATCATTTACCGTCTTTTACCCTTGCGGATGGAACCAAAGCCCCAGTTTGTGGGATTGGACAAGCTCGTCCGACCTCTACCTTGGCCCTGACATCTGTCTATTACATTCCTGGCATCCCTTATAACTTAATTTCTATTAGTAAGTTGATCCACTCCCTCACTTGCACCATTACTTTCTCTAACCATTCTGTTTCTGTGCAGGATCCGGGTACGGGGAAAATGATTGGAGTGGGTCGTGAGTCACGGGGGCTTTATTATCTGGATGTGCCTCGTCCTTCAGTAGCATGCTCTCTCACAGAATCTCCACAACTTATCCACAGTCGCCTTGGTCATCCAAGTCTTTCAAAGTTGCAGAAAATGGTTCCTCTTTTGTCCGGTCTTCAGTCTTTAGATTGTGTGTCATGTCAACAAGGGAAGCATACACGCTCCTCTTTTGCCAGTCAAGTCAATAAACGAGCTGATGCCCCTTTCTCTCTTGTTCATTCAGATATCTGGGGTCCAAGTCGTACCTTGTCTGTCTTAGGTTTTCGGTATTTCGTTACCTTTATTGATGATTTTTCCCGTTGCACTTGGACCTATTTAATGAAAAATCGTTCTGAGTTATTTTCCATTTATAAAAAGTTTTCTACTGAGATCCATACTCAATTTGGTGTTTCTATTCGTATTCTACGTAGTGATAATGCTAAGGAATATGTTTCTATTGACTTTTCTAATTTCTTGGCCACACAAGGTACTTTACATCAAACTACTTGTCCTCACACTCCACAACAAAATGGGGTGGCTGAACGTAAAAACAGACATCTCATTGAAACTGCTCGTACCCTTCTTATTCATATGCAGGTTCCTCTTCACTTCTGGGCAGATGCTGTACTCATCTCTTGTTTTCTCATCAATCGCATGCCTTCATCTGTGCTCCACAATGACATTCCTCATAATCTATTGCTTCCAGATGTTCCTCTTTATCCTCTAACTCCACATGTTTTTGGTTGTACTTGTTTTGTTCATGATCTCACTCCTGGTAAGGATAAGTTAACATCCAAAGCCTTTCAGTGTATCTTTCTTGGTTATTCTCGTCTTCAAAAGGGTTATCGTTGTTATTCTCCCGACCTTAAGCGTTACTTAGTTTCCGCTGATGTCACTTTTCTTGATCAAAAACCCTTTAATTCTATCCCATCTCAGATGTCACAAGTTGATCATGTACTTCCTGTCCCTTTTCTTGACTTGTCTTTGCCAGCTGCAGGTGCTTCTATTCCAGATGAGCAACCTATTGCTTCTATACCTGAGGACCGTCCACTTCTCACCTATCAGCGTCGCAAAACTGTGCCTCCTGTCGACTCGACTCTTGCTGACTCATCGCCCACTGCTGTTGCTTCTTCCCCTCCGGATCCTTCATCAGAGACTCTTCCCATTGCTCAAAGAAAAGGTACACGTACTACGCGTAACCCTTATCCTCTTTATACCTTTTTGAGTTATGACCGTCTTTCTTCACCTCATTTCACCTTTGTTTATAGTCTTTCTTCTATTTCTATTCCTAAGACCACAGGTGAAGCACTTTCCCATCCTGGGTGGCGCCAAGCAATGCTTGATGAGATGACTGCACTCCATTCCAATGGCACTTGGGACCTTGTTTCTGCTCCTCCAGAGAAGTCTATAGTTGGTTGTCGCTGGGTTTTTACTGTGAAAGTTGGACCTGATGGCCATATTGATCGTCTCAAGGCACGTTTAGTTGCCAAGGGTTTTACTCAAATCTTTGGCCTTGATTATAGCGATACATTTTCTCCGGTCGCTAAGATGGCGTCAGTCCGCCTCTTTCTTGCCCTTGCTGCTGTTCGTCACTGGCCACTCCTTCAACTTGACATCAAAAATGCCTTTCTTCATGGTGATTTACAAGAAGAAGTTTACATGGAGCAACCACCTGGTTTTGTTGCTCAGGGGGAGTCTGGAAAGGTGTGTCGTCTTCGAAAATCCTTATATGGTCTCAAGCAGTCTCCTCGAGCATGGTTCAGTCGTTTCAGTTCTGCTGTTCAGGCGTTTGGCTTAATCCGCAGTAAAGTTGACCATTCTGTGTTTTATAGGATTACATCTCCTGATAAGTGTATCTATTTGTTAGTCTATGTTGACGACATCATTCTCACCGGAAGTGATCAAGACGGAATTCGTCAGTTAAAACAACATTTGTTTAGTACATTTCAAACAAAGGACCTTGGGAAGCTGCGTTACTTCTTGGGAATTGAGGTGGCGCAATCAAGACAGGGCATTTCTATCTGTCAAAGGAAATATGCCTTGGATATCCTAGAAGAAACTGGTATGTTGGGGAGTAAACCAGTTGATACACCTATGGATCCTAATGTCAAGTTATTACCCGGACAGGGAGAGCCGTTATCTGACCCTGGACGTTATCGGAGGCTAATTGGGAAGCTCAATTATCTTACTGTGACTAGGCCAGATATTTCTTTCGCTGTCAGTACGACCAGTCAGTTCCTTGATTCCCCTTGTGATTCACATTGGGATGCTGCTGTGAGGATCCTCCGATACATCAAAGGAGCACCAGGAAAAGGTTTGTTGTATTCGGATCAGGGAAATACAGAAATTTGTGGTTACTCAGATGCCGATTGGGCAGGATCACCCTCGGACAGACGCTCTACTTCTGGTTATTGTGTCTTCTTCGGAGGAAACTTAATCTCATGGAAAAGCAAGAAACAACCTGTTGTTTCCCGATCTAGTGCAGAAGCTGAGTATCGTGCAATGGCAAATACTACCTGTGAGTTGATCTGGTTAAAGCAGTTGATTCAGGAGCTTCATCTTTGTGAACAGAAACAACCCATGACACTCATCTGTGATAATCAAGTTGCGCTACATATATCCTCTAGTCCTGTTTTTCATGAGAGGACCAAACATATAGAGATTGATTGTCACTTCATTCGGGAAAAGATTCAGTCAGGAGAAATCAAGACAGCTTTTGTCAACTCGTCTAATCAACTAGCAGATGTTTTCACTAAAGCTCTTAGAGGTCCTCGGGTTGAATACATTTGTAACAAGCTTGGTGCTCATAATATATACGCACCAGCTTGAGGGGGAGTGTTAGAATATTAGATATGATATGATTAGATTTGATTAGATATGATTGGATTCTGTCTTATCCGTAAATAGTCTGACTGTATTCTGAC